GAAAACACGGGCTTGTCGAGGAGAGCCGAGCGAAATTCCCCACCTTGAGCGAGACACGGACGGTCACTGGTTTCTAGTTTTGGCTAGCAACGTTTCTGGTTCCTCCCAGACGCGCTGGACGCGGAAACGCGTATTAATAGTCCGAGAGAGGGACGAGGGATATCTGGGTGGTCAGGCAGAAAGAGAGAGAGAGAGAGAGAGAGGGAGAGAGGCACGGGAGAAACAGCGAAGCGGAACAGACATCGACATGGTGATTGCGCGCGGACGTGTGCAAGATATCCGGAGGTCAAGATGGATTCGCCGCGCCGATCCATTTGCTACGGCGAATGTACGTATGGTATCGATCAGTGCCGAAGGAAGGCGAAAATATCGGTCAGCTCGCGAGCGGCGTTCTCGCTTCCGCCGCGAAATTTAAGTGATGGATAACGCCGTTGACGCGACGCCGCTTGACGCGCGGTCATTAATACATCGGGCGAGTAAAAACCTCTCATTTCGCAAAACATCGGAGTTACCGCCGCCGCGATATCGCGCGAACATGTAAATCTACGGATACAATGGGACGCAATCGAGTGGCTGTTATCGAATTACTTTATACAACACGGCCCGCCGCCCATCCTAATGACTCGAGCGCGAGTCCGCCGCTCGCTGAGCGAGATAATCGCGATGGATATCGACACGGGCCGCGAAAAAAGAAACAGACGACGCGCCGACTGCAATTCCAAGTCCAATTACAAAGGACTAGCCGCACACCGTTTGTCGTCTGTCGCTGGCGACTGGTCCTCCACCGACCCAGGTACTTTTGGTTTAATCGTGAAGGACCGTCTACATTAGAAGTAAGCAGTAGTAAGTAAAGAGCGTCTACATGGGAAATAAGCAATATTAAGTAAGGAGTAGAGTATTAATTGGTAGTAAAACGGTAAGGAGTAGGAAATGGGAATGATCCATTTCGCTTACTCCCGATGGTTACACTTTATTCCACCGAAAAAACTCTCTTACTCCTTACTTCGTAGTGTTATCGTATCCAATGTAAACGATCCTTAAAGCGAGATACCGCACGTTGCGTGCGTTGGCGACGTAGACCGTTTTGCAAAGGACTCCGTCGAGCCGCGAACGCGGCATTTACCGCCGCATATTCATCCGGGATGGCGAGCGAGGTTCGCCAAGCTCAAGAAGACACTCGCGAGTCTCGCGGAATCACCGTCTTCTCGATTTAAATCTCTCATTAACCGGCGGGCCACGACCAGTTGCGAAATTATACAGCGCGAGCGCGCGGTTACCTCCGCCAGGAAAATAATACGATTACAACGGGCAAGATTACAGCGGTGAGCTAATTACGATCATTAGCAGTCACCGCGGACTCGGTCTTTCATTAAACTACCGCGCATACCCGCCACCGCCGCCGAGCGATATCGATTTCTCTCATTGTGAAGGAGACGACGTGCATGGTTGGCGCAAAATATAAAGGAGTCAGTTTACTCCGTGCAATTAGGGATGGACTCCCGATACAAATTCGCGTAGAATTGTATGAGCATGACAGGCTCATCGACAGCACGACGGAAAGAGAGAGAGAGAGAGAGGGGAGATCCCTTCAGCCACAGCTCTTCATGACCGAAGGATAGATAGTCTTACGAGCTCGGTAGTCGACGTTCGCGCATAAAATGCAATTTGGCGGATGTCAGGCCGTCGTGACCACCACCGCCGTGCCGTAGCTGTTGCCGCCGCCGTTACCGAAGGGGCTAACCCGTAACAAAATTTAATTGGATTTATCGATCGGCTTTCTCATTCCTATTTCCCGCACGTCCACCGGCCTCTACCGACGGACACCGGTCGTTGCTGAAGTCCCGTTGCCGATGAGCCGCAGCCGTCGGTTACCGAGCTGTGCGAAAATCCGCCGACGAGCCGACTGGCCGGCGATCAACGTCGTAAGCCTGACGACATATGATTTTCCTCTCGCTCGGCCACGGGACAATATATGTGTGTTTGTATGCGCAGGAGCGCGAACGCACGTCTATAGAAGCTCGTGTAAACGCCAATAGCCGTAATAGCTCGCGATGGGTCGCCGCGTAACAAGCGATATCCGGCCGGCCGATTTACCCATTCCGAATCCGGCCGAATCCGTTTGTACAGCGGCTAAAAAAATACGGCATTTGCATTCATCGTACGTACACGTACGTATCGCACACACGCGGAGGGTATCATCGGCGATCGCTTCTTTACGCTTTTAAATGTATTTGGAAATCGGTAGCGTTGTGTCGCGCCAATGACGTTCGGAGCAGGAAGAAGAAACTCAGGGGCACACGAGTGGCACAAGAGGATATCAGTGCGTATATCAGAGAACGCGCCGATATCACACATGACCCGAGCACGTATCCCGAAAAGATATGTAAGAAATGTCAAGTTGTCGGAATGGGTGTAACGTACGGTCCTGAAAGGTAGAAGAAAATTCTATATAAGGTCGCCAAGTAGGCTGATCACGTTTCAGCCACTGTCATGTACCTGACAGTTTGAAATTCGAGAGCTGTCATGTAGTTCTCGCGATGCGCGCTTGCTTAGCGGATACGACGTGCTGTTGAAAGAATCAATAATGACGCGACGCGCAATAATGAAAAGAGATATGCACTCAGCGAACAGGGGAAATGAAATATACGGAAGAAAAAAACCGATGTATCCAGAATGGGAAGAGATTTCAAATGTGCCGCAGCGATTTAAAATATTTTTAATGATAAAGTGTACTACCAAATTGAGTAACAAAAAATATGAAGTAAAATATACGATTTTACATTTCTGTATGAATATAAAGTGATACAGTTGTTAATTATTTGCAGGCGTAATTTCGTTTGCGAAATAAAGCAAACGTGAAAACGGGGGGAAATTTGACGTCTACTTTTTCGAACGTGAGTAAAGTAATCCCGCATTTAACAACTGTCAAATGCAGAGTTCTAACTTATCCGTTGCGGATAGAAGTGGAAAACATAACCAGTGCTTGTTCAGCAGTCGATACTGCTATCTGCAGCTAGCCTGTTACCTACCGAGAACTGTAAGGGGTAAAGCAGAGCTCTGTATCCTGAAGGAAACCTGATGGTCTTCCCTTCTCCTCCGGTGTTTTCGTCGGTACAGAGGTACTTTCACGAGGATTATTTACCAATCGAACAAGAAGATACGCGACCTAAGATAATATAACGAATAATTTTGTTTTTAATTAATCTTCTCAATTTTGCGCTCAACGTGACGAATCTTTCGATTTAAACATTTAAACGTTATACGTTTTTGCTAAAAATAAAAGGAATAAATTGAAAGATACGGTACACGCAGAATACGGTCATATTCTGGGAAAATATACCGAAGAAGGGAATACACATAGAGAAGACACTAATTCTATGCAAATGATGAAGGAGCGGCGGAGAGAAATTCCTAGATGTATCAGTATCATTATACTGACATTTTTCCACCTACGCGCGCGGCTGTCCGATCGCAGGTACATGACGCATAGAGGTACCTATTTCTACGTTTACAAGCGCGTTTCAAGCATTAATTATCCCAAAACGAAGCAAGTATGATATCTCCTTGTATAATTTTAAAAGATGCTACAAACGTATCTCTCTCGTGTGTTCAATCATATTATGATTATCGCTCCGTAAGATACAATCTATTTTGAGAAACGATTCCTATTACATTAATTACACCCTACAGTTCCTTGTGATTTTTTTGTTTTCACATGAAAGATCCCCGCACATTCCGACGTGAATCGATTCGAAGGAGCGGCGACGATTGGCAGAGAAAGAAAGGGACAAAACTGGCGAAAGACGAATTTCCCGCGAAATGTTCGGGCGATAGCACGAGGTCGCCTTTTTTGCTGGACGATGACAGCTCGGCTAGTGAGGAACGTTACTACCGGTATTTCTCCGCGTGGCCGTATGTGGACAACGCTCGGATCCGTGATCGAGGTACGAACACCCATAACGACCATGGGTTTTCTTACCGCAGATAATACCGAGACGCGAGTTAGCTCGTCTCCTTACTAACCATCTACCTTTTGCCTGCCTACCCACCTACCTACCCACCACCGAGTCACCTCTGCACTTTGACGAAGCGGGGAAAAACTCGGGTCATTAAGCTTCCGTCGCGCGTAGCTCGGATGACGGGGCGAGTGCACTGTCTTTCTCACAGCGCCGGCGACGTTATTACGCTAAAATAACGTTTCGCCACGTGCGCTCGAACGATCACGAAGATGTGTGTGCGTGTGTCTGTCTGTCTGTCTGAGAAAGCACGTCGAGCGCGCACACATCATCGGATGGGTGAAATCCCCGCGAAGGGATAACGAGAAGGCCGAGAATTATTAGGGATGCAAACCAGATGCACGGGAGAGAGGTCATAACCATTTTTAATCGCGGGAGCGTTTACCCCCCTCGCCATTAAAATCCCGTGAGCAAAACAATGGAACGGAGGAAGCAACGGCGGAGACGGACAGACACCGAGCAAGCGCGAGGCCGCTTATACGGCGACCTATGCGGTAACTCGTTTCAAGAAAGCACTTTTCCACCGCGAGTTACCCGCTCCCGGAGAATGCAGAAGGTTCGCTGCCGTTAGTCAACAGCGCGTCCCGTTTATATCGGCATGCTCGTTTGCTCGCTCGGCGGGATCTCGCGATAAAAGGCAGGATGAAAATGAAGACACCGTGTGCGGTTTCCCTAGTCGAAGGGCGTCCGCCAAATGAAAAAGGATGAAAATCGCGGGATCAAGCTTATCGGCCAATTATCTCGCGCGAATAGCGCCGTCTCGCCTAATACTAATTTGAAGTCTCAACCAAGCGCGCGCCGGGCTTCCCGGCGAGTTTAATCAGTCTCGCGAGGGAGGCTGAACGGTATTTCTATAAACACGCACCTCGAGGAGAAAAAGAAACTCGAGGTCTCCTTCGCGCGTTCGATCGCGATTCGACGCGCGCTTAAGAGATTTCGCCGCGATCTCAGGATCTCAAAGGATTTCAAAGGCTCACAGCTTACCGCCGACGTGGTCGTTCGAACACCGGCTATCTTGTCCCCGCTGAGACCGGTCAGCCCTCCCAGACACCTCCTGGTACACTCAGGATCGTTGTCCTCGCAGATTGGGCATCCCGCGGTGGAGGCGCCGCCACGCTCCCGGAGGACGTGATTGCTGCTAGTGTTGGTGCTTGTGTAGCCTTGGTCGGAGCTGGCGTTCGAGTTCGGCCTGGAGTCGTCCGAGCTGTCGAAGGGTTTGATGTTCCGCGGCCGGTGGACGATTCCCACCGGTTCCCATATCTCGCTGGTCGACGACGCGTAATAATTGTTCTCCTTGGTCTCGCGACTTCTCTCGTCAACGACCTTACCACCGCGCGCCACGGTGACATCCTCCTTCGTCACGATGGACGATTTCACGCTCAAGGACGTCTCGAGTCTCACCGGGGCCCTTTACAAGCAATTTACGAGATAGCAGTGTAGATCTGTTTCCCTCTTCTCCGTCCCGCTCTGGATGGGTGCGAAAACGCGCCTTTCCCGCGGGCGAATCGGCGAATCGTGAAGCGACGACAAGCGTGATCGCGCGCGTCTCGCGAATCAACGCGCGTTCTGCTCCCCGGCGATCGTTACGTACACGCGATGCTCGCGTCAGAATTAATAGCGAGTTACCGTAATAGCGATACTACGACGCCGTATTGCGACGAAATTGCGTCATTATCTCGAGGTAAACCAACTGTCGCGATTGATGGGGCGAATAAAGAACTGGACAGATGCGCGTACGAGCCGGCGGAAACGTTGTGTAACGCGAAGGTTCACCGACGAAAACCGATGTACGCTCGACCGGAAAGCAGCGAAAATACGACACGGCCCGAGCGAGCTTGTTGTGTGCACGGGAGGGAAAAGATCCACAATGCTACCTTAGAATCCCAGCCTTGACGAGAATCTGGTTGAGAAGATCGCACGGTGGGACTTGGCCGGTTATCATGGCTTCTCGCATAGCGACTCCGTCCGGCTCCTCGAGGGGGATCGGTACACCGTTTATCAGCAGGACTTCCTCCTTTCTCACGCAGGACTTTTTTTCGCAGTCCACTACCTTGGCACCGGGCCCGAGTATAGACTCCACCGTGGATTGAATCTCGTGGTCGTCCATCCCTAAGAACGTAGTCCACCTCGTACTTGTTTTTTCCTTTTTTTTTCCTTTGATGTTATTGATATCTCGTGCGAATTCGATTTTATCGAGTTATTATGATTTTTATTTATTTATTTATTTATTTATTTATTTACTGGAATTATTTTTTTAATACGATAAGTTTAACATAGTCGTAAAAAGAGAAATTATATAATATTATAATAGAGATTTACCGATTTAATACATATATATATATATATATATATATATATATATATGTGAGTGTTTTCGATCGATATTAGAATTTGTGAAGATATTTTAATCTTGACTATAGACAATATTTTTTGTTTCAATTAATATTTAAAGAAACGAGCAAGAAATTGTATATAAATATAAATTGATTTTAAGAGTCCGTTTATACGTAAATGTGCGAAAATCATTTTCATTGGAAATTGCCGACGATATTACAGGCGTCACACGGAAATGACAGTAGCGTCAATCATACGGGTTGTTGTCGCTTCACTGGTGATTCGTGAAGCCACAGGTACAATCGCGCGAGCACCTGCACACGTGCGTGCCGCCAATCGACCACCTGAACTAACCTAACTTAACGAAACCTGCCCGGAACCGGCGGCACCACGCACCTGCGTCGACACGAAGCTCCGACACGAAGCTGTTCCGCGGCGCTGCAGAGATTTTCAAAGTAGTTTGCCAAGTTCCGCCGAGCTAAAACGATTATTACGTAATCTCTGTTTTCATACGTCGATGTGGCTTCGTACGACACGATAATAGTTTTTGGAGATACTTAACCGAAGCATCGTGAATGCAACAAGTAAATTAATAACGCGCGTTTGATGCTTGGATTAAATTTCATTCAATAATATTCATTCGGTATATCATTTGGATTCATTGGACCTTTTTAATTTTTTATTCCAATACCAATTTTAATATCCGAGTTTCTTCTGTTTTTTAGCACTTTTAGCTGTTCAAAATATTTTTCACTGTATTCTTCAGAATTTTTTCAAGTACGAAAAGAAAATTTACTTATTTATTTTTGAAAAATGGGATGAATTAATATTTTAATTCCATTAATATGGACATCTATATTTCAGCGGCGGTACAAGCAACTTACTTAACGAAGCTAATCCTTTTCTCTCCGTGTATACTTGACACAAAATTCCAAAATAATTCTTCAACGTTTTCCTAAAAATAAGTCGATGCCGTAGTTTCTCCGTGCGATACTTGACACTTTTATCTCTTTATCGTACTGCAGGCGCGGGCACGCTACTTCTTCACGCGAGAGCGATCCCTTTCCCTTTCCCATCCAGTCGATAATTAGCTAACGAGCATGTCGCGACATAAATCAAGAACTTTGCTGGCGACGTAGGGTCATGAACAAAGTAGAGAGCGCCGGTGGTCGATGATGCGAGAAATGCATTATTCCGACGCACGCCACGGCGCCGTGCCGCGCGTATGCATAGATAAATGCACCGCTGTATGATTTACATCTCGCGGAGAACGACGTCGGGCGAGACGAAAGCGTGCTCGAATGGGTGCGCCGAGCTATAAATGCGTTTCTGTTTTGATTCTTAAGTACATTCTTTAAACGGGCGCGGGCCGGCCGGAGAGAGCGCGAGGGGCCGACGGGGGAAGACGGTCTTCTGTCGGTCCTTCTGGGAGCCGCGAGAAACGTACGAGCGGCAATGTAAACTGCGACGATGGTTTCGCGATAGACGAGCAAATGTTTGCGATGCAGCGCCAAACGAGCGTCTAGCGACGAGAAATTCTTCGCCCCGAAGGCGACGACATGTGTAAACCGAGGCTTTCGGCGGCCGGCAAACGACAATCGATGTCACGACGCGAGTATTTATTAGTAGAGCGCGTCAAAAGGTCTTGATAAATTTCTTTTATAAATTTCTTGCCCGGTAAAAAAAGAAAAAACATCATTATCGTTCGTAATTATCGATATTAAATGTAATTTTTCGATACACTATTTGTCGAGCAATCTCGTTGGCGCTAAATATTCATTATCGACACACCACCTTCCGAGTAACTTTATTGACGTCAAATTTTACTTTTCGACACAGCACTTTCCGAGAATATCCATTTTATGACGAGGTCAAGGATATGCGAGAGCATCACCAGGAAGTCGGGGGAGCAAATGGCTATTCGCGGAACGTCCCTGTTTTTACAGTAAAACACACAAGCTCGCGCAGAGACTCACGAGTGCACCAGATTCTCGTTGGCTTAGCTCTTAATAACGCGCTCTCTCATACTCATAGCGCTCGATGGTTAATATTTAACGCCAAAAGTAAGGCGATTCGAGTTTATGATACTCTACCGAGAAGTGGATAAATCGATAGCCATTGCCAGGAAGAATCTACTCCACGTCCGTCTTGCTTTATAGGCGCCTAAACATTTATGCACCATCTGGATCACTAGAGCTGCTCCGTTCTTTGAGCCGCACGAAGCTCAAAGAAGTCCACCACCGATTGATAACAGAATAGAGAGCAGAATGCGCGCATGGCTACCGCGTACGAGACTGACCGTTCGCGAGGAAAAATATCCCCCCGAATCCTAGCTGGTTGTTTGAAGAAGATCGTAATCGATAATTAACGACATGTAAGATTGCGTATTTAGCAACAGGTGAGAAGGTAACACAACTCGGCGGAGCATCGACGCTTCCGACCGCACTTGAACTAGACGCTGAATCGAGCTTGCTAATTAATAAGACGCGGTATTGAGCATGCATCATTAATGCCAGTCTATTAGCGGTCGTCGAGTTTCACTTTCGCTATTGGTGTCGCGCCGACGATAAAACGTGAATATTGCGATGAAATAATGCGATGAGCATGATCGAGGAGCGCGATTCATCCGTAGTCGCTCCGGGAGTTTGAAGTGCCATCACGGTCATTCGCAAAGACGTCGCGTCGTGTCGCGTCTGCATCCTTCGAATGTCTGCATAAACGCGGACGCGAACACGCACGGCGTTTCTAACCCGCGGATACAATCTGACTATTTCCGTTCGGGTATGCCGGCCACTGCTACTACTACCACGTATACCTCGCAGTCGCGCGACGATCGATTATTATTGGACGCGTCGAGAATGTGCGTTTTCTCAACACTTTGAAATACATTTATATTGAATGTCATAAACATTTTTTATATCATGCTAAATTTCACAATAAAATTAAATGTGAAAGCCTGATTCTTACGTGAAATTCTTACGTCTCCGTTATTTCTGTTGATTATATCATATCGTTTGATAAAATCTATATAAGGATTCTTTATGATTTGCATAATTAATGCTCCGAGAAATATCGCAGTAATCTATATTGAAATATTGTTGCAAGTCGTTTGTATGTACTCTGCACCGGCCGTGTGATCCTCTAACGTACCACGTAATTTACGAATAGCGCATAAATTATTCCGGTATATTACCTGGATAGTCTGGGATTAGCAGTAGCGTCTAATTACAACTGAGAAAATCCTTCGGCGCGAATTACCGGCAAATGAGATAAGAGAGATAAGAGTCATCTTAAATACACAATTTATCGCGATAAGATTCGTTGCTTGATGCGCGTGTGATATTATTGATTTCATAGTTCACTACGAGAGAGCGGTGTAAGATAATCTTAGAAATTTCATTAGTATTACATACGAATATCCTGCTCACGATTAAGAAAATTCTTACAAAATGCCCGTCCAAGCGACTTTCTAACTATTCCCGATCGTTCTCGGAATATGTTCCATTCTATATCCCATAAAATTTCGAGTTATCCTTCCCTTCAGACGTCGAGGAAGAGATGCGTTCGGCTGCACGTCGAGTAACGCGGCATTACTTTTCGCGGCTCATTGAACGGGCATAATGAGCTCAATTAGCGAGCTAATTGAATTGTAGGTAGGTGGGGAAACGGAGTCGTTGTCCAAAGGTGCGCGCAGCCTGCGTGCCGGACGTCGTCTCAATTGCCGCCGTAGAAGCGACGACGCCTCTATTTTTAGCACCTAAGACTTAGCGTATAGTCGCACGCTCGTGGAAAAACACACGAGGAGGACGGGGTGGACGGAGCGTCGGGAGAGCGAGCAATATTCGTACGTGGGAAAAGGACGGCTAATTAATCGCCGATGCCGCTGTCAATTAAGCGTAACAACGAGACAACGTGTTCGTCGCTCGGAGGGTGGCGAATGCCAACGTAAGTCCGATCTTGTCGACGATCCCCGTTGAATAAATTCACGAAAATGTCGCGCGACTTCTTCCTGGACAGAGTCCATAGCCGGAGTAATTAACGAGACTTCCGTCCCTCCCCTCTTCCCACCATCGTCACCATCCCCCGTAAAATTGAAGCTACGTCAGTGTGCGGCGCAATTGCGAACCGGTTTTAATCTCCCAATGCCGCTATAAATACCGGCCGTTCATTCGCCATTTTGGCCGAAACCAATTTTAGGGATTTAAGTGATTTCGATGTCTGACTGATTAATCGAGCAAAAGATTCAATTAAAACCGAGAGTCGTCGATCGCGCTCACGCTCGCCCGCACGCGACCCGAATTCGTTACAGCGTGCCGGCAGCCTAAGCGCGACGCCGAGGAACAATTAATTAGCCTCTTGCGGGACTAATTAAGGCGCGAAATGAAATGTCGCCGTGGAACGTGTCGTGATGTCGGGAGGGACGTCGTTGTATGCGGGGATTTAATCGCGACCGCCCAGCTGACTTCTGTCGCGTAAACACGAAGCAACCGCGCGACGAGGAGAGATCTTGGCTCGATAAACGGCCGGGATTGTGTGTAAATCGCGAGCGACTTGCATTATTACGAAACTTACGTACGTACAAACCAACACGCGAGATGTTACGTGCTCTCTCGGGAGATTCTCAGCTGATAGCAGGGCTCGCCACACTTGGGCCGGCGCAAAGCGTTCATGGTCAGTGTCAATATCGCGTGTAGACCGTTCACACCGCTTAATAATAATCTCCCGTACGGTGCAACTAACAAGATGAACGGTATAATATATATATATATAAGCGA